GTCATTTACAGTAAGAGTGATCACCACCATCTTGTTTACTGAAACCTACCGTCACAACTCTATTGGCATGCCTGGGTCTTAAGCCACCACTTTGTGCAAACCAGTTCACGCAGCAAGCACACACAATATGGTCCCAAAGGGTCCTGATCCACAGCTCAACACATGGTTCCAAGGACCCCAAATCCATATCACACGTGGTCCAAACGAACCCGAATCCTCAATACCATCACACAATATGATTGCACAGATTTGGTTCCACATCACAACGACCATGACAAAATTTTGTTAAAATGCGGTGTCCTGTGATGTCCTATTCAACAGCAATACGAAGCCTTAAAATCTTTCATATATGTTGGTTCTTCATTATATAAACATATTGGCTTGTGCCTGCAGTAGAACATAGAAACCAAATTGGAGCCTGCAGTCTGAATGTTGTTGTGTGCGCGCATTCCCTTCAGCTATTGTATACTGTTGTATGTTTAAGTGATGGTAAAAGATCCTTAACCTCTTGTTTTTTAGACAAGATTCGTCGTTTGGCAGATATGGCAACTACGCAGTTTATAACCACAACATTCAGGCCACAGCTTGTGAAAGTTGCTGACAAGATATATGGTGTGACACACAAGAACAGGGTTAGCCGTGTCAATGTCGTGTCCAAGGAAGAGGCATTAGATTTTATTGAGCATGACCAATCTTACAATGCTCAATGGCGTTAGAACCTCAATTTAATCCAACTCTTGCTAATAATTTGTTTGCAATATGTCACTTTACATAGAGGAGTTCCAGTCATGTAATTGAAATGGACAAGCATGTACCCATCGTAAAACCAAAAAGTGAGTTAGTCTTGTAACTGAGGAGACATTGACAGGTATTTGAGTGATTGGTTGGGTTCTATTACACTGGTGGTATTGTAGTCTAACGAAAAAGGTAAAAAAATAAAGGTGACGTCATTGCTATAATTAGGCTGAATTTCTTGAAGTTTATTCATGCTTCTATCTGTAAATGTGATAAGATATATGTCGGTGCACTGAAGCTTTGTGGAGGATAATATGTATTTCATTAATCTGGACGATGCGAATTGCTCATTTGATTGTTGCCATGTTTTACGTGAGCACCTGATGGATGAGAGGCTTTGTGTGTGTTATATCTGAATTGTCATATATGGCTCAATGACTCTATAGTGCTGATCAATGCGACACATATTTACGTTTCACACTTGTTCGTTGTACAAATGTAGCTCTCTTCCACGAAGAACAACTCAATGGATGGAAACTGCTCTAGAGAGTTGGGGTCTGAACTTCCTCATTGAGTTCACATCAATGCTGTTCAGACCCCAACTCTCTAGAGCAGTTTCCATCCATTGAGTTGTTCTTCGGTTGTAAAATCTTTTGATATCTTTGGTTGATTTTTACTTGTGCAAGTCTATCAGTTGTAAAATCCTTGTTACATTGGGCAGGCGTGGATTGGGTCTGAAATTCTTCTAGCTTTTCCTTTCTGAACTTATAGGGCCTATTAAAAATGCTATCCTCTCAGACTTATTCCTTTCAGGGATAAAGACAATCAATGCCGGACCATTTTTTGATAACCTTTAATCATCATCATTACTTGTTTATTTATTTATTTTTTCGTTTTTTTTTTTTTTTTACCTTGCCAGAAATGCTGACCCTACTTTTACTCCCTATGGAGAGTTTAACCTTGGACTTCTAATTTGAAAGTACTGAAATTTATGTACTAATAAAGCACAATCTTCCTCAATTTAACACTTTCTGGCTGTCTAAATCCACAAAAACTGCGAACTGTGACAAAAAGAATAAAAGATACTAATGACACCATCTTTGAGTCCATAGAAAAGAAAAGCTCTCTAACTTGCCACAATTGGCTCTGTTGTTAGTCCAAAACCAAAGAGGAAGAGTGGGTCATAGTGATCATCCCCTACATTCGTTGGCAACTGATCTATAGTCTTTATCCAAGTTTAAGGTGACCATGGGGTAAATGAAAAGAATGAGTCAATGGGTATTCACTCTCTGTTTATTTTTTTTATTTTTTTATCCTTTTTTTTTTTATTTTACACTACTTAGGAAAATTTTTGCACAAAACAAAAAAAAAAAATTCCTATCAATTATTGGCATGAATATGGTTGCTTATGGGGCATGTGAGTGGTGTGTGTGAGTTTCTTGCCAATGACAAAAAATAAAAACAAATAAAATTGGTTTGCTTAAAAATTGTGTTTTTGGCATAGCTTAAATGTTATTGGAAGATGAATTATTGCTCTATATGAAAACAAAAATGAAAATGGAATGTAGTATGCTACTTATTTTGGAACAGACTAATCTGAGGTACCCCTTGGTTGTAAAATTACAATCTTGTTTTTAGAAGCTGATATTTTGTTATTGTGATATGTAATATTTATCTTAAAAATTGTGTTTTTGGCATAGCTTAAATGTTATCGGAAGATGAATTATTGCTCTATATGTAAACAAAAATGAAAATGGAATGTAGTATGCTACTTATTTTGGAACAGATTAATCTGAGGTACCCTTGGTTGTAAAATTACAATCTTGTTTTTAGAAGCTGATATATTGTTATTGAGATATGTAATATTTATCTTTTTTTTACCCCTTATTTTAAAGACTTTTTATCAAGTCAGCTTCATGTTATTATTATTATTATTATTTTTCCCAGCTAGTATCTTTAGCTGGGATTACAGTCTAAGATACCTTCCGGTGGGGCATTTCTTTAGTCATACTTTTATTTATAGTGATATGTTGCGTAAGTTGCACAATGCAAAATAGGTTGTGGAATTTAATTTTAAAGAGGTTGTGATGATCTTTTTGGGCCGGTGTGATGTGGGTGGATGTAAGACATTGGACGATCTATCACACTAGTAGGTTACATGGTGTCATGATCTCACATCACCTAAGGAAGGTGAAATGTTATATGTATGGTTTAACACCCTTCTATGACATAACGCGTTTTAAATCAATAACGACCGTGAACCTATCAGAACTCTAGAGTTGAGCCCGCTTACTCTGGAGTAGTACTAGGATGAGTGACCTCTTGGGAAGTCTTTAGTCCGGGAGAGATAAAATCGGATAATGCTAAATTTTTGCTCTTAAATTAAATTTAACGAATTGAGAGTAAATTAATCAACCCCCAAAGCAAAAATAAATGCAAGTAAAGAGTAGAGTTAGAGTGAAAAAGTGAGGAAACTTAGTTGGATAAAATTATTCAACAATCAGAAAAGCCTCAAGAACTATCACGTGGTCTCAAGTGAAACGATTCACTAGTACCATAGATGAAGCAAAGTACAATGAACGTCAACTTAGGCTCACACCCCTTCTCTCTATCAAGAACCAACTTGTTGAACTTCTCTGACTTTGCAACTCCCGTCCAATAGCTCTCGACTTCAGGCTTATTCCCTTGATTCTTATAGAAAGAGTGTTACTAGATCAACAACACTCCGCAAATGCTTTGACCCCTTCAAGTGTAATCACTCCATAATTTTCTTCAAAATCTGAATTTTGAAGTTTTGAAAACAAATATGCTTGACAATCGGTAACAATGAAATCTTTAATCACGCAAACTCTGATCGAACAATGAACAACCACCTAATTCACTCAAGTGTATTAGTGTGCTCTCAAAAACAGAAAAATAGTAAACTCTGAGAAATCTCAAACAAAGGCACTTTAGGGTTTTTGATATCTTCAATATAAAATCCATAATAAATTATGTGTGAATGAGAGTTTATCTAGAGAATTAGAGAGACCTATTAGGGTTAGAATACCTTATCAATTTCATGCTAAAACATCACTCTAATTTATACTGAAAAAGGTATTAGAAGTTGGCAAAAACAAAATTTTCCTTTCTACTTGAACTGGTTCAGGGAAGTGCAACCAGTTCTACTTGAAAATGCAACTAGTTGGACTTGAGTACTGTTTTTCTTCAAGAAAAACAACCAATTCTAAAATGAAATGCTACCGGTTCAACTTGTGAAATGCCCTAAGTACTCTATTCCAACTTCGAACATACTCTAAGTGATCCTCACACAATTACCTCGACTAATTATTGGTTAATGTCGAACTATTGTGAGTAGCTTGACTTAAGTTTATTGCTTTTGAAACCGAGACGCAATAATAAATAAAAAATTACAATCCGATTTGGACTTTGTTTTGATCACCGAAATATGCTAATTACATTTTTATATTTCACAAGTTGGATTTTGAGAAGCTGGAAGAGGAAACTTTTTAATCTACAGTCACTCCAAAAACCAAGTTGTTTATTGGTCAGTAGTTTCAAGTTCTCTCTCTTCTTAGAAGGTGGAGCGGTGAGTACCAAAGTGGTATTTGTCAGATTCAGTCTTAAATGTTGGAGGTTGAAGTCCCTTAAAAAGAAAAAGGAGAAATGCATCAGCTTTCGTGAAAACTCGGATGAGGGGGGCAAGAGATGAAGGGTGAGTTGATTTCAAAACGCACCGCCACCTCATGATGTGTGTGCATCGACTATAGGAAGCTCAATTCCGTTACTATAAAAGATCATTTCCTATTGCCATTCATTGATCAAATTCTAGAGCGTTTGGCCTGGTAAAACTATTTTTGCTTTCTCGATGGATACCTGGGGTACAATCAAATAGCTATTAAGCATTGAATTGAGTAATCAAACTAAAACTTAAACTCCAACATCATGCACAATAAATGAGGATACTAAGAGAGCAATGAAAAGGAAAAATGAAAAATAAATTAAATAATAATAATAATAGTAATAGTAATATAAAAATAACGAGGGAAGGAGTGCACTTGTCTGCTTATTCAAAAACTCCAGACATACTGTTGTAGTTTATATTTACCAGAGACCACATATGGTACCCAAGATAAAAATCTTCACACCTAAGACAATGAGTAGAGCCAAAATAACACAAACACAACTACTAATACCGGAGACAAAATACATTAGCCAAAGAAAAGATATCTTCACTCCTAATAATACAAAATAAGCTTGCCAAACTAACATCACTGCAATGTTAAATAGAACATACTCCACAAGCCCACCAAAATCAGAGCAAACATAACACCAGATGTGTTCTTTTAGTACAAGTGCTTCTAATTTCTATCAGAGACCTTGATGGACTATCTTCTTGTCACTCGTGTCACTGGTCATTCATTCCCTATGAAAAAAACTCCCATTAGCACATACAGGAAAAAATGATTTGTAGCAACACGTTCCACTAAAGCTACAGGAGAGAACTTTACTGTCTGTCTCTAAATATACATGCTTGAAGTAATAGTTTATCGATAATTATGCACGTGAATTCATAAACAAAGAAAGACGATTACACAATTCAAAGTCCTATATTGGTTTATATATAGACTCATTAAGAATGATGATAGGAGCCCTATAATAATGTTAAGAGTAAAAATCCTCAAGCTAGGTAATGTTTGTTCTCATTTTGATTTCCAACACCACCATGATCAATACAAGTAGAGAAGAGGGTAGTATGTGATGTTTTGGGTGGTTTTCAGCAAATAGTGTAGTCTAGGGGTAATCATACTGGGCGGATTCGTGTGGACGAAACGGTGTTGTGTTTGGAGGGGGAGGAGGTGCGTAGGGGGATTGTTTCTTTCTACCAGATGCTCTACTCCGAGCCTTTACGTTGGAGGCCACGGCTCGATGGCCTTCATTTTGACTCTATTTCAGCTATGGATAGGGATGGGTTAGATAGTCCCTTTTCAGAGGAGAAGGTTTTGAAGGCTTTGAAGAACTGAAATGGTGACAAAGTTCTGGGTCCAGATAGTTTCACAATGCGGTTTTTATTGAAAAGCTAGACGGGGTGAGACAGGAGGGTATCGGCACTTTTCATGAGTTCTATTCTAATGGGAAGTTCAAAAAGTCGCTGAATGCATCTTTCGTTGCCCTAATTCCTAAGAAGGGTAGTGCTTCTGACGTTAAGGATTTTAAACCAATAAGTCTACTTGGGTGTATCTATAAGCCTGCTTGGGTGGATTTTAAACCAATAAGTCTGCTTGGGTGTATCTATAAGCCTATCACTGAAGTCCTTGCGTTGAGATTGAGGGAGGTTCTGGACGGAGTCATTTCTGAATCTCAAAATGCATTCATTGGGGTAGACAGATCCTGGATTCTGCTCTCATTGTCACTGAATGTGTGAATTATAGGCTCAATAGCAGTGTTCCTAGAGTTTTGTGTAAGCTCAATATTGAGAAAGCCGTTGGAGAATTACGTGATTTATGTAATTGTTAGATAAATTTGAAAGTATTAACTGTCTGATCTTGTACTAATTATAGGCTAATATAGCTGGTGTATTAAATATTAGGTTGACCTAATTTATTTCCTGATCTTCAGGATTTGGTTGTATATTCCTTAATTTACTAGATTTTGTATTGATTGTATTCAGCCTATAAAGGTCAGGCTGCTTTGTATTGGAAAGTTATGAAATATACTTTAAATTTTCCAATTTCTGGGTTATAGTATCAGAGCCCTAGGTGCTCTTTCTGAGAGAAAATATTTCATCACTTACATATTTCATAGTAGCTCGTAGTTTAGTTTTTTATAGAAGGAAAAAATGAGATGTCAAAGGTTACACAAACCAGCTCTCAATCGGAAGAGCCTACAATCCAATAACAAGTTCCTGGAGATCTACATAAAATTCAAGCTGCGTATAGGCTGAATGGAACGAACTAATTAAAGTGGTCTCAACTTGTTCAAGCCTTTTTGAAAGGGAAGGGCAAGCTCAACCATCTTCTTGGAAAAGGGCCTGAGAAGGAAGATCCAAAGTTTGCTACTTGGGATGAAGAAAACTCAATGGTCATGTCATGGCTATGGAATGCAATGGTACCCGAGATAAGTGATATTGTCATGTTTTTGACAACCGCTCAAGAGATATGGGAGGCAATCAAACAAACTTATTCAAAGAAAAATGATGCTGCCCAGGTGTACGAGATTAAGGTGAAGCTAGCTGCTACAAAACAAGGGAACATGACTGTAACAGAGTATGCCAACACTCTAAAAAATTTGTGGTACGAGTTGGACTATTACCAGGTTCTTGAGATGAAGAACAGTGAGGATGTTGCGTTGCTGAAGGCTTTCATAGAAAAAGACAGAATCTATGATTTCTTAGCGGGCCTTAATCCAGAATTCGATACTAAAGTTTTCAGACTTTAGGGAAGGGATTATCCTCCTTAAATGAAGCAATTGCAACGATTCGTGCTAAAAAGAGCAGAAGAGGAGTTATGTTGGATTCGCAGCCATTAGAAGGGTTGGCACTGCTTACAACCGCTGTTAGTGAGCAAACTTCGGAGAAAAAGTCTTTAGCTACTACAGATGATAAGAAATCTGACCCGAAGAGGACGTTCAAAGAGAATCGAGTATGTAACTACTGCAAGAAAACTGGTTATACGAAGGACAGCTGCTATAAGCTACATGGAAGGCCACAAAACACGAATCAGTCAAACCGGAATTCGGGAGGAAGAAGCTGGCAGCAAAGGGGGCAAGCCCACGTTGCACAGAATAGCACTAATAATACCAATGATCAACCGAATTCCAGCAGTAGAGAATTCTGTAAGGAAGACATTGATCGCCTCCGATCCCTTCTTGATTCACTCGAAAAACCTACAGGTGCCTGTTCATTGGCATTTTCTGGTATGTAATCTAGTTCTCATGCTCTTAGTGTCTCAGATAATGTTTTAATCCACTCACACTCTTGGATTGTCGACTCAGGGGCAACCGACTACATGACCAACTCATCCCAATCTTTTTCTTCTTATAAACCATGCCCTAGTAATAAAAAGATCACCATAGCTGATGGGAATTAAGTCATTGTTGCAGGACAGGGGGACATATCCTTAGGGCCTTTCTTGTCTCTTAAAAATGTTTTACATGTGCCCAAATTGACAACCAATCTTTTATCTGTCAAAAAAATCACCAAGGATACAAACTGCAATCTTATTTTCTTAAAAAAATCATGCATTTCAGGATCGAGCTTCGGGGAAGATGATTGGGCATGCTGAAGAAAAGGATGTTCTCTACTATCTCGAGCCCATGAGTGGAAAAGTGAGTACTGGAGTTGGTTGTTCATCTGTGTTTCTGTCTGATTCCTCCACAAATAAAGACAAAATTATCCTTCATCATTTTCAGCTTGGTCATCCTTCCTTTAGAACTCTCAGTCTTATGTTTCCTTCTTTGTTTAAAAATATTGATTTGAAACAGCTTCATTGTGATATTTGTGAAATTGCCAAACACAAATGTGTTTCCTTTCCTTTGAGCAATAATAAATCATCAGTTCCTTTTTATTTGATACATAGTGATGTTTGGGGTCCTTCACGGGTTGCTAATTATTCTGGGGCACGTTCGTTTGTCATTTTTATAGATGATTGTACGCGGGTAACTTGGACTTTTCTCATGAAGCAAATATCTAATGTAGCCAATATCTTTCCAATATTTCACAACATGATAAAAGCATGGTTTGAGGGGGAAATTAAAAGGTGAGGACAAAGGACAAACAACGGGAGGGAATATTTTAACCAAATTTTATCACCATATTTGAACCAGGAGGGAATAGTTCATGAGTCCTCATGCATTGACACACCCCAACAGAATGGGGTGGCCGAAAGAAAGAATGGACATCTTCTCGAAACTACCCATGCTCTTCCTTTTCAAAGACAAGTTCCAAAATATTTTTGGGGGGAAGCCGTTCTCACAGCCACTCATCTCATCAACCAATTACCTACCAAAGTCTTAGATTTTAGAAGTCCTTGGGAAACACTTTCACATCATTTTCCAAATTTCCTTACTCCAAACTGGTTGTCTCCTCGGGTATTTGGGTGTGTTGTCTTTACTCATGTTAATGCTCACAATCGAAGCAAACTTGATCCTCGAGCACTTAAATGTATTTTTATAAGTTACTTTTCAACTCAAAAAGGTTACAAATGTTACCACCCACCTACAAAGAAAACCTACATTTCAATTGATGTCACATTTGTTGAACATGAGAGTTTCTTTCATCATCCTTCTCCTCAGGGGGAGGTAACAAGTGATGAAAAGGATGATGATGCAGATGTCCTCGATTTCGATCTTATACCCAAATTGTCACCACCATCTTTGAGTCCAAGTTCTGCAGCCACTCCTGCCTTGGTTTCCTTTGGTTCCCCTCCTATCACATCCATTCCCGGGTTTCACTTCCTAATTCTGATCCCAGTTCTGATATTCCTTCACTTCAAAATCCAGTTGTGACCCCTCTTGAATCTCAACCACAATCTCCTCCTAAAAATCCAACTCCATCAATCAATCCAGTAGTCACTAAACCATTTCAAGTTTTTTCGAGAAGGAAGGGAGGCAAGACTAATCCGAAGCAAGCCCAAAAGTCAGAACCTATGCTTGGGAAAGAAACCACTCAAGAGAAAAACACTGCTCAGGTAAACAATTCCACTCATGTGTTTGATAAGATTGATTTAGAACTACCCATTGCAATTCGAAAAGGTACCCGAAGGTGTACACAGCATCCACTCCATCATTTTGTCTCCTTTGAAAAATTATCTCCCTCACAGAACCTTCCTTACTCATCTAAACTCAATAGCCGTTCCTAAAACATTGTCCAAGGCATTAAACAGCAGGGAATGGAAGCATGCCATGAAAGTTGAGATGGACGCACCGGAGAAGAACAAGACTTGGGAGATGGTCGAACTACCAAAGGGAAAAAAAAACTGTGGGATGCAAATGGGTGTTTTCAGTAAAATTCAATGCAAATGGATCTCTTGAGCAGTACAAGGCGAGGCTAGTAGCAAAAGGATATACCCAAACCTTTGGTGTTGATTATCAAGAAACTTTTGTCCCATTGGAAAAAATGAACATAGTAAGAATCTTATTGTCTTTGGCTGATAACTTTGGTTGGACTTTGCAGCAGTTTGACGTAAAAAATGCATTTCTACAGTTGTTTGACGTAAAAAATACATTTATGATTGGTGGGGGAGTTTAAGTATCATCTTGTTCGTTGGGAGAAGGTATGTAGGCCTATTCAGTCTGGAGGCCTTGGGATTAGGAGGTTGGTGACTTTTAACAAGGCTCTTCTCGGGAAGTGGTTGTGAAGGTTTGGAATTGAGCAACATAGGCTGTGGAGGAAAGTTATTTTGGGCCGCCTTGGGGAGGAGACCGATG